ATAAACATGTCCACTATCTGTTCCCACAGACTCTTTGCTTTCCAGCCTAGAAGCTTGCTTATCCCGCGTAAATATGCTGGTAAGCTTCACCTGCTTACAGCTAGGCTCATTTGGTTTCTCAGCTACATCTTCGTCAACTGATGAAAACTTCCTCTTGAAATTGCTACGCGGTGGATTCTTTTTCTCGACATGCGTCCTTGTTACTGTACAACTAAAGCAGGTAGACCTGATACCTTTTCATCTGGTTTTATCTCAGAGCATCGAAAGTCTTCATTTTCATGGGAGTCACCATTGCCGTTTCTAGGAACGAACGTGGAGGCTGACAGTTTTATTTGCATCAGAGGTTTCTGATTGACATCAAATGATGCAGTTCCACCATCGAAAATCTTCCTTAGCGGCGATTTTATGGTGGCTAGCAGGACTGTCTCTTCCTGGAGAAACACCTGTCTCTTGTCTGGAGTCTTATTGACATCTAGACATTATCTGATCATGGAAAATGAAAGTTTGAAAGATGATGAGTGGAACAACTAGGCACTCATGTCAAACTCTTTCAATATTACCAGAGTTTGTTGAAACATGGCACTCATTACTGGGTAAAACTGAAGAACAGCTCCTCCAAAAAATCTGTTGGCCGTCTGTCAGTAGACTTTTGACCAACAGCAGGCCGACGGAGGATAGATAGTCGGCCAACAGATGACAAATAGCCATCAATCCGCTGACAAGCTGCTAACAGTCGGCCAACAAACGATTAAATTCAGCTGACAAATTGCTGGTCGTCTGTGAATGACAGCCTACCGACAAATGGCCAACAGATGTTTGGGGGAGCTGTTCTTCCTTTTACCCATTATTGATGCTGACTCCTTGAGAACACTCTCATAAGCGACTGGCTTTAGTTATGAACCTTTTGCATGGACTCCTGAGGCAGTTGCTTACAAGAGCTTTAACTGTATAAATCGTTTCTAAACCAGATGCAGCACCTATCAGCTGACCTTTTCAGTCAGGAACAGGGTAAGAGCGGCATTGAAGGTCGAACTGATAACCCTGGTTTCTTCTGAGACACTATCCTCAAATGGGATAGTTCCCTGATGTTACAGACAAGCGCAATTATGGAATAACGTACATTGAGTTGTAATACAAAAGATTGAAAGGACACTGACCATACCAACACCACAGAAGAAAAGGTAACCTACAATAGATTCTGCATGCAACACCATGAAACACCGGGAACAAAAGAATCTGCACCCTTTCCCTTGTTGTCTCTTAGAGGAAGGGTGGGGAGGGAATGTTTCATTTTCCCCTTTTGAATTTGAGAAAAATGTCACAAAGGCCCTATAAGGTAAAGTGTTTCAACTAATTTTGTTGTCGACGGTAGCCACTGCTACTGTCTAGAATAATGGTCTGCAATGTAGGAATATATTCCACCAGCAACATACACCTAAGGTGTAGGATACTGTACAAGAGTATGGTTCTCTATATTGACCAATGAGAGGACAAGTAATAACTGACATATAATAAGAAGGACCTTAGCAAACCACAACAAACCTCTTGCCAGAGATATGTCCATTATCACAATAGGATATTGATGTCTGTTGAACATGTGGTAGACCTCATTAATGACACAAGACACCTTGCTCAGCTCACAGGGTCGTTTATTAATGTATAAAAACTGACGATCAGCACTGCTGCATCCCACACCATTGATCTGGTTTTGAAAAGTATTCATCAAGCCCAAGTTCATTGCAGTCTTCTTGTGATGGAACAGACTCCACCATGGCCATTACTGCAGTCGACGAACAAACCCTTTAGCGGTCTTGACAAAACCTCTCGAGGGGACCCGGGGAGCTAACGGGTTTGTTTGTCGACTGCAGGCCGCTGGCTACCCTCGCCGGGCTTATTTTAGTTACCCGACATACTATGCGATCGGTGAACGGGTCCACGGCAGTTTGGACGAGCCTAGTTTGAAATTGGAAAGCCGATCGAGCAAGAGATAAAGGCATCGCTAGTGAACGATCTGTGGGAGGAGTTGCGAATCGAGTGGATGGACATGGAACTGCATCATCTCTGGTTTGAATTTCTGGAGGAATTGAGGCCGGGGGTAATTTTCCTGCGGAATTATTCGCCTCGAGCGACGGACACTTCGTCAGTCACTGTTCTGCCTTGTCTTTCTTTTAGCAGCTGGAACACCAAAATAGCGCTAACTCACCAAAAACGCTTCAAAACGGCCTAAGGTAAGTAAATTTTATTTAAAAACATAACATTTTTTTTTCTCCTTTAAGAAAAACCGTTTACATCCCATACAAGCCTTTGTAAATAGCCGTTTGTAACACAACACCGCTCGCAAGCAAGAGTCACGTCCGCTTTCATGTAATGAGCTTGCGCCGCCCGTGGATGACCCGCAAACCTTGGAAACGTGCACGACGGTCATCTAAATTGACCGACTGCGCAATATAAAGCAAAGGAAGTGTTGACAACATAGTGCAGGACCGTAGATCGGGAACAACAGGAAATCCCTGGACAGTATTACTCGCACGTCATCGTGTGTCCATCTCGCTAAATCATGACATTTTATTCCGACAGGAACAATTAACACAATCAAAATATGCTTTTGTCTCCTCTAACGATTACTGGATCCTCCATGAATACATCATCGATTTTATTGTAAAAATACACTGTCCACAGTCCCCTACTTTTTCGTGAGATCATCGAGATATGTTGCGTCTTACCGTTAATGGCGGCTATCTTGATTTTCAAATGTACCGAGGGGGCGGGGATAGGGGATTACCGCCCCCACCCCCTAAGTAGGCTTGACACTTATGCAAGATGTCAGCCCGTAACGCAAAGCCCTTAATCTCGATCATCTTATGGAAAAATAGAGGACTGTAAATAGTCTATTGTAAAAATTACAAACATCTTTTCAAACCAAGCAATTTCAGAACACTTTACTTAAATTTATTTAAATTGTGTGGGCCACACCGACACGTTTCTTTGTAACTACGACGGAAAATAATCAAACTAAAACCAAACCAAAGTCTTCAGGTGATTAAAGCAAAAGGCCGCCCGCGAGGAGAACGCGAGACCACAAAAATATTGTTTTCGAAATTTGACCGCATTGGCAGAGATTCTTAGTGAACGGATCACAACAGTATTTTTCTAAATAAAGATAAAAAAAAAAATGAAAAGCTTTCTTCCGAATAACCGGTTACGTACTGTGCTTTAATTCCAGTTTCCAGGACGTACTAAAAGTGCCGGAAATGGGAATTTTGCTACGCGTGTTTTATTTGTAACGAAAAAACAAATCTTTTGCTAATAAATCCCGAAAAATATAACTGGCGGAGGGTCTCCTACAAGAAAATCACCTATTAAAAAACACTCTAAGACAGACATATAGCTTTTATAGCTTGTATATCCCTTAATTTTCCAGTTATCGCTCAAGTGATTTCATACATAACACTTTGGTGTCTAACTCACCGAATCACGGGCGTGCCACCTAGTGTTTCTGTTGCGTGATAAAACTCGCACTTAGGAGCTTAGAAAGACGCGCCACCTAGCTAGTGTTTCTGTAGCTTTAAAAATCACACTTAGGAGTTTAGAACACCATGGCATTACAATAACACTCGCTTACTCAAGCTAAAACATATTAACCTTGAAATTTCCACATGATGCGTTAGCGATTTTATAATGCCGTGGTGTCTAACTCACAGAATCACGGGCGCGCCACCTAGTGTTTCTGTTGATTTTAAAATCGCATTTAGGAGTTTAGAACACCATGGCATTATAATAACACTCGTTTACTCGAGCTTAAACATATCAGACATATTAATTGAAAATTAAACAAGACTTACCTGTAAGTTGAAGTTTGATGATAATTCTGCCAAATCATTAGTAGTACAGTAGGGTTAACATGCCCATAGCACCCATATGTTTACACCCACCCCTGACGTCGTTTCGCCTGTGGTTTAGCGATTACAAAATTCTTTTAAGACTGACCTACTGTACTACTACTAGGTCGGTCTTAAAAGAATTTTATAATCGCTAAACCACAGCCGAAACGACGTCAGGGGTGGGTGTAAACATATGGGTGCTATGGGCATGTTAACCCTACTGCACTACTAATGATTTGGCAGAATTATCATCAAACTTCAACTTACAGGTAAGTCTTGTTTAATTTCCAATTCTACCAAATCATTACGTACATCCGGGTTACCATGAGACTTTAACGCAGTGAGCACAAAATGAGAAAGCACCCAAACAACTTTACACGCCGACTTTAATTGTACACTACTTTGCAATACAATTTTGTTGTACAAGGCATTAACCTAAGTGAGAACTGCCGAACTCATTTGGTTTGTTACAGCAACTAGCTTGTTGTAAAACTTCCGAAAAGTGGACTCCTCAGTCCAACCAGCTGTAGCTAGAATGACATCAGTGGAAACTGACATAAGAGCTTTACTCGTTGAGGCACACCTAGTACTATGACCAGAAACTATTTCTGTATCAACCCCCACTTGTCCCAACAAAGTTTTGATCCAGCGTCCAATAGTAGACGAGGTTACTGCCTTATAGGGATTAATGTACGAAACAAGCAGTTTTGAAGAATTCCTAAGCTTTTCAGTAGCCTGTAGGTAATAATCTAATGTTTCATAAACACACAGCTCCCTTACTGGATACTTGTAAAGGCGTACATTGCCAAATACTTTGCCAGGTTTGTCCTGCTTAAGGTGTTCAGTTAAGGCAAAATTAAAACATGCATCATTCTTCTGCATATATTGCTCTGATGTGTCCAAAAAGGTCAAAGTCTGACACCTCTGTCTCGTAGTCAAGGCAAACAACATGACTAATTTCAGGGTGATTTCCTTCAAATTGATCTCGTGCAGAGGTCAAAATAAACTCAAGTAATCAAGGACAGTATCCACGCACCAGATATTGTTATACTTCGGCACAGGCTTAAGCTTGCTGAACACCCCTGCAAGGTGGCGGCAAACAAGGAAATGCTTCCCTATAGGTGTGTGAGACGGAGCATCATTATCACTCATATCAATGTTAGAGACCGCAGACCGAGCTGTATTCAACGCAGAATAGGTCAAGCCACTCTTGAAAAGACTGTGCAGAAAAAAGAGTACAGCCGTTACAGTGGGATGCAACGGATCATTCTTTCTTTCACAGCAAAATTGCAGCCACTTGTTGATATACACTTTATATTGTTTCTGAGTGCTGTCTCTCCATGAATGCATGATGATGTCGACAATGTCTGGCGAAATCTCAGACTCTTGCAAGGCTCGCCTGATAACTTGCATGCCATCAACTGCAGTCGTTGGTGTAGGGGATGGGGACTGTCCAGGGTTGGATGAACCAGATTCTGAACTGAAGCATTGAATACACGAGGCGTTTCTGTTTGTAGGCTCAGTACAGCCGTAAAATAAGGCTGAGTTGTCCACAAGGGAATTACTAGAATTCCTGATGCCTGGTCGTGAATTATTTTCTGTACACACCTTGAAACAAGACAGAATGGAGGATAAGCATAGAAGAAAAATTGTGACCAATCAATGGTAAAAGCAGCTACAAACTTTGCCATTGGATGTGGTTTCCAGGAAACATAATCCTCCACCTGAGCATTAAGTCTACTAGCAAATAGATCTAAATCTGGTTTGCCAAATAAAGCTACTATCCTCTGAAAAATCGGAGCGGAAGGCATCCATTCCAGATCCAAATTCAAATTCAGAGGTAACTGATCAGCATCAGTATTGCTTGATCCTGGAATATGGGCTGCTGATAACCAAATATCTTTGTCAATAGCCCAATCCCAAATATCCTTAGCAATGGAGTTACATTCTAAAGATCTACAACCTCCCATAGAATTAGTGTAAGACACTGCAGTGTTGTTATCAGACACAACCCACACATGGATGTTGTTCCTCGCATAAAGTAGGGAGGACAGAGCAAGCTTAACTGCTAATAATTCCAGGTAATTTATGTGCCCGGATGACTCTGACTTACACCAGATGCCACTAGTGTTATTCCCATGTTCGATTTGAGCACCCCAACCTATTTGGGATGCATCAGTGTAAACAAATACATCCGGACTATTATGAAAAAATCTTCTTGATGCTGTTAGAATATTTGCAGACCACCAGTGAATCTCTTCCAAACTGTCATGAGACAAGGTCATAAATGAATCAAAATTCCCCTGGTTCAATTTCAAATGTGCTTCTTTGTCAACCTCAATGTGGCGATAATGTAAAGGGCCAAACTCTACACCTGGAAACCTGGAGACTAAGGTCCCAAGAAAATATGCAACTTCACGAATAGTAAACCGTTTATTTGGAAGAGAGAACTTTTGGCACAACTGCAAAATTTTAACAGCTTTCTTGTTAGTCAAAGTAACTGTCATGAGAATAGAGTTCAAAATAAACCCTAAAATCTCTAAGATATGTGTTGGTATAATAACTTTTCTGGATGGATTTTAAAACCTAGACTGACAAAAAGGTGTATAGCACGTAATTTGGCTTCTTCACATTCCGTATAGCTATCATCCAGATAGAAAGAGTCATCAATGTAGCCCAGACAGGTGTGGCCAAACTGACTCCTCAAGTAGCTAAAGACCGGTTTTAAAACTTTCGTAAAAATCCTACGGCTACTAGTCAATCCCATAGGCAGGCTAGTGAAAGCATATAATTGATCCCTCCAAATAAATTTTAAATATTTCTGATGTTCTTCTGCAATAGGGATAGAGTAATATGCATCCTTTAGATCTATCGATGTCATAACATCCAGGCCTCATGAGTCTAATAGCTGTTTCTAACGTGTCCCTCTTAAAATGATGGTATGTCACTGACTCATTCAGTTTCTTTAGGTTAAATATAACTCTGTGAGACCCATCTTTCCTAGGCCTTGTAAAAATTGGCGATATGACCTGGCCATCCTCATGTCATGATAGCCTTACTATCCCTTTAAGAAGGAATTTTTCTACTTCATTGTCAATGATAGTCTGTTCAATTTCAAGGAACAAAAAGGTCTAGTAACACTAGTACATATTCCAGGTTCCCAGTCAAATTCAATATGACAGTGAGTAACTGCATCCAAGATAAAGAGGATCTGATGAGATAGTCTTCCATACATGAAGACAGTCTCGCAGCCCTCCTGCCTTAAAAGAAACTTGAATTGCAATAATAGTAGCAAGAGTTGTCTGACTTACCTCAGCCGGTGATCCTACTAGGTCTTGGTTGCCGAGGTCCTGGGATTCTGCTAGGGCCGAGCATGGCCCCGGCCTTGACCTTAAAAAGAGTTAGAGGAGGCTCTTCCCCTGCCAGCACCCTGACTGAATTGGCCACGACCACGTACACCTCTTGAGGCGGGGACTTTGTAAGGTTCAATGCGTCTCTTGGGAGTCACTTTATTGCTGAGCTTTTGTGACTTTGTTAACTCTTCCACTTCCTCGTTCAGGTCATCTCGAAACAAGAATGTTGGCACTGCTGTAGATGGGTTGCATAAAGGAGCATGTTGCTTGTTCAGGTCAGGACGAATGAGATCTCTTCGTTTCACATTAAGCTCTCTATTTGCTGACAACAGCAGGACTGCTGTATTGGTCAAAACATTCCTCTGATCTCCATTTGCACTGTTACACAGCTGAAGTACAGCATATAAACCTGACAAGAGCAAGAACTGTGCCTTCTGGAAAGCTGAATCATTGTTTCTGGTCTCCTGTCGTAATTGTTGCCAAATTTGCTTGTTTATCTTGGGTGCAACCAAATTAGTGCAGTTTTCAGGTCTGAGGTACTTGTTCTGTACCTTGGCCAACTTTTCTTTTATGAGCTTCTCTGTAAGCAGACTATTCACTATTTCTGCCAAATTGGCATCTATGGCAGGTGAAGTTTTCTCTAGAACACTAAATTCATCAGCGAGTGATTTAAAGCAACCGCCATCCGAGCCTTAAGCATGGTCTGAGGTTTTTGACTGGATAAAATCGTTTATTTTAGTTGCAACAGCCGTTGCAACAGCTGTATCCGAACACTCAGTGCTCGCTCCACCGCTCTCAGGGCTGGTCTCATAATCTTCAAAATCGGCATAAACCTTCTCAATAGAGTCTTGTACGTGGGCCAAAATATCTCTTTTGGCACCATCTAAAAGTTCGGCAAACCTCGGCTTGAAGTCCACAGGCGAAGTACCCTCAGAATTTGTAATTTTCTGAGACTCCTCAGACATCGTCTGAAGAAATTAAGATGGATAAAGAAAACATCAGCCTATTGCACTACAAAATGGCGGACTCGTCCGCCACGTGGTATCAAAAAGTCGGTCCAAATAACCGGCTATATAGCTAGTCACAAACTTGTTGAGACTCGTAAAGATACCAGGAAACGGTATAAACGCGTTACACCACAATTGTTTAAACTTTGGACACGTCCAGGAGTCTTCTCATAAAATTATAATTCGGCACAAGAACCGAGTCCGCCTGTGACGCGTCACAGAGCACGAAAAAGGAAAAAATCCAGACAATAACGGCTGGAAAATGTAATGTGGAGCGCGTCCACAGTAAAAGAAAAATAAACGAAAAAGTAACTGTTAACTTACCGTGATAAGCAGCTGCCGAAGGCGGAGAAATATCGGAGAAAAATAAACATGACTAAATCCACGGCGAACGATACCTGCACTAACCTGCGGCAGTGTGTGCGCATCTCATGGTAACCCGGATGTACGTAATGATTTGGTAGAACTCTTAATTTTCTTCTGTGTGCAAGAGATTTCATAACTTGACCGTGGTGTCTAATTTACAGAATCATGGGCGCGCCACCTAGTGTTTTTGTTGCTTTAAAAATCACACTTAGGAGTTTCCCAAGCTAAAATATGGTAACCTTTAAATTTCCACTTGGTGCGCACGTGATTTCATAATCACCTGGTGCCTAACTCATAATCACGGGCGCGCCACCTAGTATTTCTGTTGCTTAAATTGCACTTAGGAGTTTAGATCACCATGGCCGGCATTACAATAACGCTCGCTTACTCAAGCTAAAACATATCAGACTTATAAACTCTTAATTTTCTGCTATGCGCAAGTGATTTCAAAATACCGTGGTGTCTAACTTACAGAATTACGGGCGCGCCACCTAGTGTTTCTGTTGCTTTAAAAATCACACTTAGGAGTTTCGAACACCATGGCATTACAATAAAACTCGCTTGCCCAAGCTAAAACATATTAACCTTTAAATTTCCACTTGGTGCGCAAGTGATTTCATAATGCCGTGGTGTCTAACTCACAGAATCACGGGCGCGCCACCTAGTGTTTCTGCTGTTTTAAAAATCGAACTTAGGAGTTTAGAGTACCATGGCATTACGTACAATAACACTTGCTTACTCGAGCTAAAAAATATCAGACATATTAACCGTTTATTTTCTTCTCTGCGCAAGTCATTTCATTATACCGTGGTGTCTAACTCACAGAATCACGGGCGCGCCACCTAGCGTTTCTGTTTCTTTAAAAATCCCACTTAGGAGTTTAAAAAAGCATGGTTTATATGTCTGATTTGTTTAATGACGAGTATTATACAAGACTGAATTGGACGACACGAAGTTTGTTACCAATTAATCATAACTATTACAAAATTTGTGATATTTTAAGCTTTTTTCAAAAATGGAAACACAAGAAATGTTTCAATTGTTTTGTTTGTTTTTGCTAAAAGTGAAACAAAGCCAGAGGACTGAGTTAAATCCAACTCGGTCTGTAATTATCAATCAAAATCAGACGACCGTGTAGTGGGAGTCCGATTTGTTTAATCACGAGCATTACAACGGAATGAATTGGACAACACGAAGTCCTGTTATCAATTAGTCATAACAAAAAAAAATCCCGATAAAACAAATTAATACATTTTTTTGTGAAAGAGCTTTTAATATTTTTATAAATAATACTGGCAGAGACACTGTCTAATGTTACAAATTCCTCGAATTTTGGAGAATCCCCAGCTTGGCAAAAGAAGTGGTTTTTGCTGATGAAACTGTCCGATTACAGGTGTGGATAGCTTAATGCATAGATATGTGCCATGATCCCTATTGTGACAACCTCCAATTAAATCTAACCTTTGTAACACGTGATTAATCTCTCCGCCAGGTTTCGCATCCATGCGTTGCATTTTGATTTTCAATATTTTGTTTCATTTTATTTGTTTTTAATTTTTAACGAAGCTAAAATGCCCCAGTCCTAAAACAGTACCTACTTTGTGTGCGTTCAACTTTAAAAAACTTCCAAAAGATACAGTAAAGAAGTATTATGGGCCTCATTTGCAATGTACTCATCATAATTACCAACGAAGGTGAAAAAAACTTGCCTCGTGCAGTTCTGCCGCCAGTCGTTCTCTGTCACGTGTGGATGTCCGAGAGAGTCTGAGATAAGAGGGAAGGGGGTCGGGACGAGACTTCTCTCGCCTTTACAGTCCCACAGTGCTTTGCGCTTAAAATAGTCAGAGAGGTTTCTGGGTACGAGGAAGTATAAAATCACTCCTTTGGCCGTCAGCTTTTTAAAGCGAAAATCTAAGGAGACGTAGGTGTGTTTATTTTCAGGAAACGTGAGTATGATTTCAGAGTCTTTCTGCTTCGCTGATTGCGACATTGCATGAGTCAGGGGCCGCATTTATCAGTTAATATTTTCATGTTCTAGTGTTTAAAAATGATGCCCCTTTTGTCATTTCTCCTATAATTGTGCTCTCAATAACTCGAAGCCCATCGCTAGTGCATCCAAAGAGATACGTTGGCTGAAAGAATAATGCTTTGAAACTACAAAGTACCTATCAATTTGAGCGTCATTTCACCCTGATATCCTTAGGCTACTTTTGCACCGTTTTGTCCGTTTAAGAATCCCTTCAAATCAGGTATGTGTTAATTGTTTTTCTTCCTTTAGCAAATAGCCGTTTCGTTTTAAGAAGA